GAGTGAGGAGGATTACAAGTTTGAGGCCATCCTGATGTAACTTATACTCTCAGTAATTTCCCCAACATGTTTACTAAATATAAAGGAAAATAAAACACAGAGATAAGTTTACTCTGGAGAAATCAGTAGACATGTCATAGGTAGGCCTAGGTCATCATTAACAATAATAGGGCATGCAGATAGCCCAACGTCTTCAGATGTAGCACTGGAAAGGACACAAGTCATTTCTGGAATGTTCTTATGAAAATGCTTAGCATCATTTCAGTCATGAGAAAGCACTTGATAAATCCAAACTGGAGTGCAAAATATATGAGGATGGAAGACTTCTGTGATCATTTTACTGGCACTGATGGTCATCTAGAGCCCTCATGACATTACAACTCATCCTCCACTCAAGAACCAGATTGTTCAAGGTTCTGAGTAGTTACCCCAAATCTTCTCCAATGATGGGATTCCTAGAGCACATTAATGTGAGGATGCAAGTGTTGGCCTCCAATGAAGTCCTGTACGCGATTTGGGAAATGCAGTAAATGATCGTAAGACAGAAAAGTTATATATCTTTGTATAGTTTTAATACACTAATAAAATTTCAGGACCTCTGATAAACTCTAATCAGTTTTATTTTAATGCTTTGCTAAGGATTCTGATAAGTAACAGTTTCCCAGTACTTTATAAAAACATGTATATCTTTAAAGGCTTTCCATATGTGTTAAATATGAATTCATGAATATTATATATTTCCCTCATTGTAGTATAGAAATGCATGTGTATGAGTCTATAAATGAATATATTATTCACTTCACACTCCCATAATGAAAGCAAGCTTTCTTATTTGAGGGGTGTTGTTGGTAATGGAACTCACGATCTTGCACACTATGGGCAAGAGTTTTGCCACTGAGCTTCAGCTTGCACACAGGCTTTGAAGAGGAAATTTCCTTCACAAAATGCTGAAACTCAATATACTTTAAGAAAGCCTAATTTAAAACTACTTCTTCAAAGGGCTACTGAGCCCCTCCTGTTTGAAGCCTGTTTCCCAGACAAGGAAATGTCATTCTATGGGCTTTGAGGGCATCTCAGACTGCACGCTGGAGTTTGGTGCAAGCATGTCCCTTAACAGCTAGAATCTCATTTGCCAGGAATACTGGATCTGTGGTCTGGAATCAGAAGGTGAATGGATTTCCAAATCCCCATTCCAAGGCCCTGGTAGGTCTTACAGTATGATCTCTTTTTGCCACTGAAGTACTGAAATAACAAGTGGCTGAACAGGAGCCAAAAGCCTTCCAATTGGAGGGACCTTGGGATATTCTTATTCCAGAAGAAAGACCTGCCAAAAACAGGAAAGGACTCCAGGAAGGGAAGGGCAGTCTGTTTCGTAAGCATTCATGCAGTAATGTCCAGATGTGCTTTCTGAAGAAGCTAGGACGTGCAACAATCCAGGGATGGCAGCAAATGATCTAAGCAGGTGGTGTCTGCCTCATCATACTGTGGTTTTAAATAGGCTCAAGTGAAAATCAGAAGCAATTTTCACAAATTGTGGAAATTGGGAGGAAGAATTTTTACCTGTGCAATGTGGTTTTAACTCTCAGAAAAAAAGTCTAGTGGATATATTGATGGCTCTATTAGATGATGACTTTCCCACAAAGGGTTATTTCTTGACAAATCCTACTAAAGGTCATCTTGGTAAAAGCCACACAGAGTAAATCCCATTCTAAGACCACTTGCATCCACAGCCTCGAACTCAGGGCTTCTGCAGCCATCTCCATGCACCCAGCTATGGTATCAGCATTGCATTTCTGATATTTATGTGGAAAACACCTCCCCATTTACCTTCAATACCCAGAGGGACCATCATTATTAGCTAGCATGCAATTACTATGCAACAAGTACAATCTGTATGGTCAACAAAGGTTCATTAAAAAATAGGAAAAACATTTTTGTGATTTGGGTCTACATGTCCCCCAAAGTGTCATGTAGACATAGGTGGGGATCTTCAGAGGTGGCTGGATCTAGAATGGATGATTCTAGGATTAAATGTGTGATGCTGATAGAGTTTCAAAAATGGCGGCTTGCTAGGGGATTGGGAGGAGAGTCTCTCCAGAGAAATCATATTAGTTACTAGAATATGACAACATGGAGATGGCCAGATGAATGGATAATGATTCTTATTAACCAAGACAACACAGCTGGTTGAAGGTCGTGATGAGACTGCGATGAATGTTAACGGGAGTCTGCAAATCCCGCACCTTTAACAGGGGCACACTGACCAGTGGGTCCAAGAGGAAAAGCTGTATTGGCTTTTGGAAACTGTGCCAGAGGAGATTGTGAGAAGCTCTGGAGCTCCAAAGCCGAATACCATGCAGTTTTCTAACCGTTCTGCACTGTGTCGGGAACACAGTGAAGGCAAGCGGGTAGTATGCAGTAGACTCAAGAGGAAGACCTGCACTGAGTCCTGGTGAGTACTAGGGACTGGGTCCTGCAGCTGCTGTGGCTGGCTGGCGGACATCTTGGAATTGGGCAGAGCCTTGCGCCATGACGGCATCAGCGACATAGAGAGAACTAGTGGAAGACATCTTGGAATTGGGCAGACCCGCTGCTGCAGTGACATTAGATAGTCGCTCCTGGCACAGAGAGGTCTGGAAGAGGACAGCTGGGATTTGGGCAGAGCCCTGTGCCACAGTGACATTAGTCAGCCACTTCTGGGGCAGAGAGAACTGGCAGGATCTGCTGAGGCTGAACCAAGCCTCTGGTTGGGACCCAATAAGCAGATACAAAATAGTTGCGACTCTGTGACATCCACAAAATACAGTCTAACTTGCAGATTGACTGGCACAGAGGCTGGAGGCTAGCCTGCACCGTCCCTGCATCCCTGCCTACCCCAGATAACGGCAACTTGGGGAGGACAGCAAAAACTCAAGTCAGCATGCTTCTGAAAGGACCTAAGAAATACAGAGAGGACCAGAGACCCCCAGGACACTTCAGTATGAAAGAAACCAGACACATGACAAGAGATAGAAATAAAAAAAAATCTCCAGCTGCCAAATGTGAGAAAATAAGCCCAGGAGAAGTAAACACTGAAGAGACCAAGCACAGTAACCATCCAATACTGGACACAGCATCAGCCAAAAAAAAAAAAAATACCTCCATGACCTCATAGATGAATTTAAAGCTGTACTCCTGATCCAAGTGAGGCAAGATATAAAGAGATTAATTAAAGAAATGACAAGTTCCGCCCAAGAGAGCACAGATGGAAGAACTGAGGAAATCAGAAACAAAAGAGAAACTTCTGAAGAAGAATTTAAACATAACTTAGAATACATGAAACAGATCCAAAGAGATTACCAGGAAACTAAAACTCAATTGAACACTGGCAAAATGCCTTGACAGAAACAAAGTTAGCCTTTTGAAACTTGAAGAGAGATTTATGATATATGATCGTGAAAGAAAAGACCTCTTAATAATAACAAGGAACCAGAAAGAAACAATTCAAAGGCTAGAAGATGACAAAAGGATACATAACTTAAGAATAAAGCGTGTGAGTGAGGAAGCAGGAGCAATCAAAAATGAAATACAAAGAATATTCACAGATATATTAAAGCAAAATTGGAGCTGGGGGTTTAGCTCAGTGGCATAAGCACCTGCCTTGCAAGCAGGCAGTCGTGAGTTTAATCCCCAGTACCGATAAAAAGAAAAAAAAAGATATTAAAGCAAAATTTCCCATGTATAGCAAAAACAAATGATATCCAGACAAAAGAGGCAAACAGAACCCCAGCTTCCTACAACCAAAACAGATCTACACCCAGACATATAATAATCAAGATTCCAGAAATCCACCAAAAGAACAGAATATTAAAAGCAGCCAGAGAAAAGAAGCAGATTACCTACAATGGGAAAATTATCAAAATAACAACAGACTTATCAACAAAAACTCTTAAATCAAGAAGGGAATGGGGAGAAATTTTACAAGTTCCGCAAGAAAATAATATGCAACTAAGACTCATATACCCTTCAAAACTCTCTCTCAAAATTAATGGAGAAATAAGATGCTTCCAAGACAAGGAGGAACTGTGGGAGTTCGTTGCCACCAACCCAACCCTACAGAGAGTGCTGAAGGACAATCCAGAGAAAGAGAGGAAGGGATACCAGGATTCCAGCAACAGTCGCAGAGAGGCCTCAATGAATGGGGCACACAGTGGAATGAGGAAATAAGGTGGACAAATTATAGCAGAAAAGTGGAGTAGCAGACATGAGGCAGAGATGGTAAGCTATAGTCTTTAGTATAGATAGCTCTGATACACTATAAAAAAAGGCAGAGGTCATTGTTAATAGTGTATCAGGATTTAAAACATACAGTAGTCTTATCACCTTGTTTATTTTGAATTTAACTTGTTCTGGTCTGTCCACTCATATCAGATTTGAGGGCACAGATATCTGATCCAAAAATAGCAGGTTATACCATGGTAACTATCCTTAATTTCCTATTAACTTAAACTGAAATACTGTATTACTTACATTGTCTTACTATGACTGATCTTATTTGAATCTGATTCATAAGACCGCGGTTTTGCCATGGCTGATTTTATTTGAATTTGGTATGCTTGATAGTATCAACTCTAAAAGTAGAGGCAACTACTCTGAAGATGACAAGATGTAAAAGATATCCATACTGGTATTAACTAGTAACAGCTCTCAAGTCCTACAATGTTTTCAAAGTGGTTTTTTTTAATATAAAAATAGTTAGGTAATACTATGTTTAACTATATTAAGCTTGATGATGTGGACAAATCTATTGAAAATAACAAGAGAAAGCATAATAACTATGGAAGATCACCTAATATTGTAGTCTTATGTGTCTTATTCATTGCATGTTTTTCTAGGAATTTGTTTTGCTGTCTTGTTATGATTTGTTTTTCCCAGAGGATAGATATACATGTAGAAATTCACACTTGAGAAGATTAAAAAAAAAAAAAAAACTATGGGAACAAATTATATAATGCAAGATGTAATGAACAGATACTCTGAAGAAGAAGAGACACTAAGAAACCCAATGCTGCTTTACCAATCTAGGCTATTTGGGAGACTAAAAGACCACACTCCACAGTGAACTATACCACTCAGTATAGTTCATTACTATTTTGTGGCTACATTACATAGGAAAAAAAAAGAAACCCCAGTGCTAATTTTGTAGCATTATGATATAAAATCTAGCAATACTATTATTCACTGATCAGAGTGATATTAGTCTAGTCTGTTAAGTTCAATTTCAGCATATGTAAAGATAAGGACAGCTACTATGAAGAGAATGAGAGATGAGATGGTAGTTATTATTGTCTTCCCTAATGTCAGATCTTGAAGACCTAAAACACCTTTATCATCCTGTAATGATTTGATTAGTTCTATAATATGCAGTATGTATTTAATGTGCATGAAGATGGGGACAACTATTTGGAAGAAACTAGAGACAATTAGATAAACAGTGAAGATCTCCAGTGGACTTGCTTTGAAATCTGTATTTCTTTAAATTGCTTTTTTAAAACTGTTTTGATATGTTTAATCTTACCCTCTTTAAGATATAAACAAGTGTGTAGGGACTGATAACCATATTACTAAGTTTTTGTTGGGATCATTGAGCAGAACTGTTGGCAGTGTCACTATTCAAATGTCATTTTACATACTTTAATATTGTAACCTGAACAGCTATTCTAAGATGACAAAGGTAACTTATCAACTGGCGATTTCTTACTATTTATTTTTCTGTAATTCTGTATTATTTCTACCCTATATATCTCCATGTATTTTTTGTTTCTTTCTCTTTAAATAAAAAAATGTGTGATGCTGTGAACAAGGTTGTATGATTATTGAATTAGTCTACTAGTTGGTTAGGCATAGTTCAGGGCATGGATAGTAGGAAAGCACACCCTGGGTAAGTGCAGCCTGCCCTAAGGGTATGTAGCCTGGATAGACTATAAGGAAAACAAAGAAGGCTACTTCTATCAGTTGCTGCTTCTTAGCTAATTCACTGCATTGCTGCTCTCCCCACTCCCTGCCATGAACTGTTTCTCCTCTACAATGCCCTTCTGCTATGCCACTCTGCCTGGCACCAAAGAGCCATGTACTGGAACTTTTATAAACTCTGGGCTACAATAAAAGTCTCCTTCTTTAACTTTGGTTATCAGGTATTTTGTATCAGCAACAAGAAAAGTAAGTACAGATAACACGCATGATTTGTTTTTTATTTTAAAGAAAAAACAACAATAAAAAATATAAAATTTCAAAACAAGCTTATAGTAGAGTAACAATCTTAGTACATCTTGTATTGTTATTTCAAAGTAGTTACTCATATTACAAAATATAGGCACAGGCACAAACCTTTTTTTCAATGAATGGCAATAACTAGAATAAATATTTTAACTATTTTATATGTATGTATGTCTTCATTTATTCATCCTTTCCATTCCATCTTTCTGCTTTCCCCAATCTCAGTTTCTCTTTCCTTTTGAACAGTTTTCTATCCGTTTTACAACATCTAATATATGTTTTGGAATCTTATTTACCTTTTCATCTTCTTACACTAGGGAGACAATATGTTGGCACGTGGAAGTCTGATTTGTTTCATTTATGAGTATGGTCTCAAGTTGCATCCATTTCCCTATAAAAGTCTCAAGTTTGCTAGAGATACAACTCAGGAGCACGCACCTTCCTGGCAAGTTAGAGGTTGCAAGTTTGATCCCTAGTACCAAAATAAGTAAATAAATGCAAACAAAATAAAACTCTCAAGTTTATCCTTTTTAATGACTAAGTAGTACTCCATTGTATAATATGTCACATCTTTTTATACATTAAACAGTTGATGGGCATTTGGGTTGTTCCCAAGATTTAGCTACTAAAAATTGTGCTGCTATAAACAAGGGTGCACATATATTGTTGCGGTATGATGTTTTTAATTCATCTGGGAAAATACCCAGAAGGGGAATAGGTAGGTCAAATGGGACCTATAGTCCTAGGTTTTTGAGGACTCTACACACTGATTTCTATAGCACCATGCTTCTTTGACTGCTTAACGACTACTTCTTTCAGCAAAGAAAATGCCAATGCCCTCAGATCTGTTTTTCAACAAGAGCTGTGGTATAGTCACAATGCAGGTACCTAGTTGCAAGGAAGTCACATTTGTATTAAACTGACAAGTTCATCATGCTCTGTGTACTCCTCCTTTGGTACAAGGGAAGAACACATGTATGAAGGCTCCCTGAACAGAAAGGCCAAATATACAATTTCTTCATTGAGGCCACAAGTTCTACTAATGAGACACATTTTCATGGTGAAAGATCGAAATATACAGAAAAGTATTTCCTTATATTGCTTTACACTGATTCAGAATAACACACACCTGCTATTTAGAAGACGCAAGATTGATTTTTTGCCTCGTGTTTTCAGTGCACAGTCCGGGGAATCCAAGCAGGAGAGCATGAGAACAAGGCATGGGGCAGGAAAGCTTCCCACATCTCGGTGGCTGGGAAGCAGAGAGAGGACAAAGGAGACATGGAGGGAGATATTCCATTCTGCAGTGACCCTCAACTTCCGTTCAGGCCCCATTTTCCTATAGCACTCTCAGCTGCCAAACTCAGCAGTTGATTGGAGTAATGAGTGGATGTAGAAAAAAAGCCAAGTAGTGCACACCAGGATCCAATTGCCTTCCACTGTCACAGACTGATCAGCCCAAAACCTCCCAAACAAGTGAAAGGCAAAGGCTTGAATAAAAGAGACAGGTGGTATGATTTTAGGGCTGCAGGAGGATCAAAAATCTCTATCAGAATTCCAGAATTCTGGGGGCTGAGACAAAGAACTTCTCTGGGAGAGCCACATTTACTTGGTTTCAAACAAAGGGAGGAACAGGGGGAAACGCGGGAACTGATCAGAAACTTGGGGTCAGTTCAGACACTTCTGCAAGCAGTAAACTGTGCTTATTTATGAGAGCCATCTTATCCCCAGCTTGACACCTATGGCAGGGCTGAGACAGCAGGAGTGAGAGGCCTGCAGCTGCAGTCTCCGTCTAGTTCATGGGGGTGGGAGCCAGGCATCCTTATCTTGTCCTACGAGGCATCAGAGCATCACAGGCCAACACAGGCCTCAGGCCAGGACCGGTGATTCATAGAGGTTTCACTTACCATGAATCTGCTGTTCATCCCAGACAGACTCACAAGTAAACATAGAGAGCCAATTGGTTAATCTTCAGGTCCTGCTCAGAGCCGCTCTGTGGTGGTCTCCAACATTCCACAAGGCTCTGTTCCACTCTGCAGTGACCCTCAACTTCCGTTCAGGCCCCGTTTTCCTATAGCTCTCTCAGCTGCCAAACTCAGCAGATGATTGGAGTGATGAGTGGGAGCACATGAGGCCTTTGGGGAGGTTCTCCATACAAAGCGCTGTAATGAGCATGAAGATACAATGCCTACTGAAACTGACATTTGGAAGTACTGCCTGCAAACTTTTATGCACGTGTGTTTACTCGGATGCTGTTAAAAACAACACTGAGGGTCCTATAAGATCACAGTCACTAAAGGCATACTCAACTGCACACATATTTGTACATTCTTGTACCACCTCTGATCTAGTTAGCATACAGGGACATTCCTTTGATTGCAATATACGGGAGGACTTTATGCTGAAGAGTGTGGTAGAGTGTGAAGTTAGGAGCCTTACGTAAGCACCCACTGGATTTGCATCTGAAGCGTCCCGGTTATCCTTCTTCTTCGTACTGTCCACTGTGGCAGTGCATGTGGGCCAGGCACTTTGATCCTGCTCCTGGGATTTCTCCCCTGGAACTGATAATTGATTACATTGGGTAGGAGAATGAATAGGAAGAGAAAGGGAAGCAATGAGGGGAGGGGAGACTGAACAATATATGTTAAATGCATGTATGAACACCCCGAAATGAAACTCAGAATTCCATGTGACAAGTAGACACCAATTGAAATCATCACAATCTGAGTGTATGCATATGGAGTGGCGTGAGAAAGGGAGTCACACAGAAATGCCTGCTGGGTGGTTCCCATTTTGAAAAACGGGCAAAATTTTTGGAACCTTTTAGGGAGGGATGCTGTGGTGAGACAGCAGCACAGAGAACAAGGAGTGCTGACTACACGGGCGTTTGCCCCGTGCCGGTTTATTGAGTGGTACACTTAGATTTTGTGGGATCTTTCTATGGCTCTGATCCTTGACTATTCCCAAAAGCCACCAAAATGCCCCAAACCCAGTTAAAAAATTCTCACTATAACAGCATATATGGTTCCAGTGTAATTCTCATTCATGAATGTATTATGTAGATGCTACTATAGCATAAACTTAGAACTCAATATATTGTGACCATCTCTTTGGTGACATGTTCATTGAAACTCTAACATCTGTATTAAAACCACAATGATGGAAAATACCAAGGGTGGGGGATATGAAGAAAGTGGGTTTCTAATACACTGTGGATGGGAAAATGGTTCTGTAATTCCCAAAGAGCTCAATGTGCACTTTCCCTATGACCTGCTGACCGTCTTGCCAGGTAGCCAGCAAAACCAAAGGGAGCACACGTGCATGCAGAGGCTCATCAGTGCATATGCACAGGGCAGTGTTCCTAAGAGGCAATGCATAGAAGCCTTCCACATGCATAAAATGCACCAGTGACCAGGCACACGGTGGCACATTCATGTGCACACATTGGAACATGCACTGTGACATGAGAGAACCCTACACATGCTCTGCTAAGTGGGAAGAGCCAAGACACACAAACCACTTCATGTGATTCCACTTCTCCTTCTAATGTCAGCACGTGTCTCCATTGCAGAGATGAAGCATACATCCATCGTTTAACCACACATCATATATGGAGTGTTTTCTCCACATTTGTGATGACCAGCAGTGCCTTGATGAGATTTTTGTGACTGATATTGGGCACCATGTGTTATTATTTCTTTAGCCCGACACTCAGACAGGGACAGATGGAGGGTTTGTGCATTTGGGAGCATTCTGTACAAAATTGCCCATGGCCTTCCCTAAGGCTGCAGAGGCTGCACACTGGCACCAATCCAGAGGTCCAAGCCTCTTCTTTGGATTTTAGCACTGCCCTGCTGCTACTGCTCCCATTCAGGGGTCCCAGGGCCAAG